TAAAACTACTAGTTTGTTGATCCTTTCAGATTAAAAACACATTTCCATAGACACTGAAATGATCCTTTATTTAGTGGGACTAATTGTTTTAGCCATTAGTTTTTGGTGCTATTTTCTCTTCTTATTACAAGGTACAAAAAGAGACAATATATGTTTATTAGGCTAAGAAGTCTTGAAAAAAGCAAGCAAATTTAAGCAAAGAGAAACTGTAAAATAAATCATATTTTGGGACACCTGAGTGGCTCAGTTGGTTAAGTGTCTGACTCTTGATTTTGGCTTAGGTCATGATCTCAGGGTTTTGAGACTGAACCCCACGTTGAGCCCCATGCAGGGTGTGGATCCTGCTTAAGATTCTCTCTCTCCCTCTGACCCCCCCACCGTGATGCCACTTCTGCTCTCTCTCTGTCTCTTAAAAAAAAATAAAAAATAGGGGCGCCTGGGTGGCTCAGTCGTTAAGCGTCTCCCTTCAGCTCAGGTCATGATCCCAGCGTCTTGGGTTCGAGCCCCATATCGGGCTCCCTGCTCCGCGGGAAGCCTGTTTCTCCCTCTCCCATTCCCCCTGCTTGTGTTCCCTCTCTCACTGTGTCTCTCTCTGTCAAATAAATAAATAAAATCTTTAAATAAATAAATAAAATGTTATAAGGAAAGTGTATAAAACACAATTCTATAATATATAATAGTTACATTGATTTTATATTAAAATAATTGGGGGTGGTTGAACCCCAGTGACAGTATTTAGCAACTTTTGTTTTGATCAATCAAAAGTAAGGAAAATCACATGGATTTGTTTTAGAGGTATTTTAAGTGTAATTTTAGGAAATGATATTTTTATGGAAAGAAGGATAAGTTAATAGTTATACCAAGTATCTGGTGTTATTCTCTATTTAATAGTTTCATTTTAGAATTATTTGGAAAATAGTATTGATAATATTTCAGTCCTTCTGATAATGTCTTACTATATACTAGATTAGGGTTATATGATTTGCTGGGCTCCTAAAAGTAATTTTTATTACATCTATGAACAGGATTCTTTTCTACAATATATTTTTCTGATTTTATAATGGAAAAATATACCTGGCATGGAACAGGTGAATGATTATTAGTTGAAAAAGCTATGAGTAAATAGCTAGAAACAGTATCTCTGTTAAAGTGACATACCAGTATTGCTTAATTTTGTTTTTTTTTCTAGTGTAATTGTGAAACTCATACTGACTAAAACTACAAATCAGTGTTCTGATGTGGTCTTTCTTCCCTCCACATTTAAGTTAAGAGAAGAGGGATTGTTAGCATTTGCTTCATGAGATCAGAATTGTAACAACCATAAAATGTAGTTACAGGACCTTTTTCATTTCAGTTATATTTGTGAAAAAATATAAAAGCCAAATAATTTTAAAATTCCAAACTTTCTATTGAGCCTTATGAGTAACAACAAAGAACTTGAATAAGCTTTTAGTTTTTCCTGTGTCTATCTTAAATTTAAACTATAAAATAAAAGAAGTCCATGATTAATAAACCTTAGGATTCTCTTAGTGCTCTAAATGTTGTTTTTTTCCACTCTAAAAATAGTCCATGTTCATTATCATTTTGAAAATTTGTGTTGATAGAAAGAAGGAAGCCACACTATCCAGAGATAACCATCATTAGTACTTGGTATATTCTTTCCAGACACATTTTTTACATAGTATTGATCAGACCTTCTGTACAATTTTTTGTCTTGCTTTTTTTCCTTTAACATTCTTTGTTATAAACTCTGTTAACACTTTTTAAGGACTGCTTGGTGTTTTGATTTGGGTTACTTTACTTAACTTTAAAAAATTATTTAAAAAAGTATATTGCAAACAAATACATACACTCCTTTAAGGGGTGCTTAGATTATACTATGAATTAGATTTTTTAGAACTAGCAATATGGGGTGCTCGGGTGGCTCAGTATGGTAAGCGTCTGACTTCAGCTCAGATCATGATTCCGGGGTCTTGGGGTCAAGCCCCTGCATTGGGCTCCCCACTCAGCAGGAATCTGCTTATCCCTCCCCCTCTGCCCGTCCTCCTGCTCTTGCTCTCTTTCTCTTAAATAAATAAATAAAATCTTAAAAAAAAAAAAAAACTAGCAATCTGTTGAAAAATCACTATATTCCTACATTATCTTACCTTAGTATGGCTATACATATCTGAATCACTGCAAAACTGCATTTGGAAGTCATCCTTACTATTCCCAGGATTCCAGTTGAGTTAGGTAGGATCTTTGGACTGCTTTACAATTTTTAGGGCAAAACTCAAAAAAAATACCCATAGAAATTTTCTGTGGAAAATGATGTCACTAAATCCCTTGCAAATGCTCTCAAAGTCATTGGCAGCCTGTACTATTTGGCACATGCTCAGAGAATAAACTTAACTGTTTACTTTATAATAATGTTCTACTTTCTTTATGTTAATGGTATGTTTTTAGAGTTTTCAACAATCTTGAGTATTTCATCATTTATACATTCTTATAATAATTGTTTTAGGTCAACTGGCTATTCTGAGGTGATAGTTGTCGTTGGAGGCTGTGAACGGGTTGGAGGATTTAATCTTCCATACACTGAGTGCTATGATCCTGTGACAGGAGAATGGAAGTCTTTGGCTAAGCTTCCAGAATTTACCAAATCAGAGTATGCAGTCTGTGCTCTAAGGAATGACATTCTTGTTTCAGGTAATTAGAGAATTATTACAGTAGCTACTTTTAATTTGAACATAGCTTGGCTGTTTTAAACAATAGTAGTGTCTCAGAAGAAAATATGAACGTGAATATACCCACTTTCAGCAGAAAGTATTTGTTATACAACAAATAAAACTGAGAATGACTTCTTGCTCTTAAAAGCAGGCTCAAGATGATCCAGAATGATTTATAAAAGATCCACCAGAAAAATGCCTTTAATTGTCAAATTTTAAATGCTCTCAAGTGCATATAGGATATGGTATAATTTTTAAAACTTTTACCTGTTAGCTTTGTTTTAAGGAACACAGTGAAGTATGCAAAGTGCAAATTTACTCACAGAATTAATTAAGCATCTCTGATCCACCCAGGTTTTCTGAAATTCTCCCCAAAGTTTATGAAATAGGATTTTCCTTAAAATTCTTAATTTGAACTTCTTTTATGTGATGTTACATCTAAAATCTGAGACAATAAAATGACAAACTTATACAAAGTATAACTACATTATCAATGGTTTTGAGTCTGTTATTTGGTTAATAATTTTACCAGCTTTGGAGTTACGCTATTACTACATGTTGAACAATATAACAACACATACTTTATTTTGTACAATGGTATGCTTTTTGAAAAAATGGGTGATTTTTAAAAATCTTTTTAAAATCTGTCGTTTGGGTGCTTCTGATGTCTGATTCAAATCAATAGTCTTATACATTTGTAAAATTCATATTCTGCATTTTATTATTTGGGGCCTATAATTCTCAAGATCACAGTCCGCAAAGTTTAAATCTGCTCTGTAGAACTGTTTCCATTAAGCTTTAAGAGGGTCCTTGTTTCATTTATTGAACTGAATTCACAAATTCTTGGGGGTGAATAATTCCCATGTTATATCTATGCCTTAAGCATAAATCCCTTGGTGATACACATATTATTGTGTGTACATTGTTTTGCATTTAAAGGTGGAAGAATCAATGGCCGTGATGTGTGGATTTATAACTCACAGCTAAATATTTGGATCAGAGTTGCTTCTCTAAATAAAGGCAGATGGCGTCACAAAATGGCTGTCCTCCTTGGTAAAGTAAGAGAAACCACTTTTTATTACTATTGCTGGCACATTTCCAAAATAAATACCACAGTTGAATCCTTCATCTCACTCTCTGGGTATTTTGGATTCAAATTGTATTTCCTCCATTTCTAACCTCAATAGATAAACTGAAGGTATAAACAATTTGACACTGCACTTTTGAATGGATACTTTGTTCTCCCAATTTGGAATTTGTGGCAGTGCAGCACATTTCTCTTTTCATGCTCCATTGGAGTCTGAATGCCTAAGAAGCATTGGAAAATAAAGGAGTTACATCAAGTACAAAAACAGGCCAATGTCTAATCCAAGCAATCTTTTTCCCTTTATTGACTTTGGCAGTCAGGCAGAGATATATTTATCTAGACTGATGTTATTTTTTTTCTTTATGCAAGTTAGGGACAAAACAAATTTAAAATAGTGTTAAAATAAATTCACCAATGTATTTTAAAGAAAATTGATTATTGACTGCAGCTAATAAATATTTAAAAATATATAATTTGGGGGGCGCCTGAGTGGCTCAGTTGGTTAAGCATCCGACTCTTCACCTCAGCTCAGGTCTTCATCCTCAGGGTTCAAGCCCCGTGTTGGGGTCCATGCTGGTCGTGGAGCCTACTTTAAAAAAATAAGTAAATAAATGTATGTTGGTTCTGAACCATTCTCTGTCCTTAGGAACCTGAGAAACACTTGTGGACTAGTGGTTTCCAAACTTTTTAAAAGCAGCCACACCTTTTTTAAAGTTAAAAAAGTTAAATCTAATATAAAAAGCCATTACATAGAACAAATAAAAATACAGCAGTATGCCAAGGGCTCTTTAGCTTTTCTTTGCCTCCATCTCTCTTAGCTCCTTCAAAGCTACCATAAATTAATGAGCAGTCTGAATAAAAGCAGCATACTTGCTTGCACATGTACTTCTGACTGGTTCCCTGATACTGTCTTCTAGAAAGATTGTTGCCTCTTGGGCCCTCGTGGAGACATTTTAGAGCAACCAATGAGAAAACAGAACTGCTCTAATAGAAACAGAGATGGTGCAGGAACCCTTCCCAATCAGCCTCTCATCAGCCCTTGTCTGTTTCCCCATAGAGGCTTCTTGAAATTTCTATACCACAGAATATTAGAGTTTCTCAAAGCACAGTTTTGAAAGCTACTGTTAATTCCTGAGGATATTGATCTATTGTGCTGCTGCTGTCGACAAGGTCAATGAAATAATGAGGACCTTGGGATAGATGTAATGGAAATAAAATACTAATTCTAAAAAAAAAAAATTAAAATAAAATACTAATTGTATTTGGATATTTTCCAAAATCACTAGTTTGTCAGTAATTACTATATTATATATAGTTTTGGTAGCCATGCTTCAAGAATGATAAAATATTACTGAAAGGGACAGCTAAAATATTCAAGGGGTTGGAAAGAGAAGAGAGCTGACTTAAAAAAATTGTAATTATTTAGCCTGGAAGTACAAAGGCAAATGCATATGACTTATGTCTCAAATATCATGTATGGATTGATGAACACAAATTTATTTGACAAATGTTAGTATACTTGGCTTGAAGCTACTTAAAACTTAGAAGCAGTAAATCAAGACATGAAAGGAATCTTTCCTACCTTACATAGCAAGTACTCACATCATGGAAACTGTTACCCTAAAAAAATTACAATATAAACTGAATTCAAACCTATAAAAGTGTTTAAATTTATAAATGGTCTCTATTTAAAAAACCTGGGTAAGATGATTTGGAATAGAGAATCTGAGAGTAGGAAGGAATCGTAGAGAAAATTTCGTGTAACTTTTTCAATTTATAAAGAAACCTAATTCAAAGAGATCAGTCACTTGCCCAACGTTACACAGAAAGTGATAAAGCTGGGGCAAAGCAAAGTTCAGGATTTTCTTAATCTAGAGTCCTTTCATCTTGGTGCCCACAACATATATTTTTAATTTATGCATGCAGGAGAATGGTAAAAAGTTTAATCCTCAAAATTATGTGATAGGTACTATTACTGTGTACATTTTTATTGAGGAAACAAAGACTGACTCTGAGAGGGTAAGTAAACTGCCCAAGGTTTACATTTCATAGCAATGCTAGATATTGAACCCTACCTCTCCTGACTTCAAAGCCATGCCCTTAATTGCTACATTGTGTCACAGTTTCCATATACTCTTCCAGCTGGGTGACCTTGAGTAAGTTACTTAACCACTCTGAACTTCATAGTGTTGAGAGAACAAGCCCACCAAGAGATCATTTTAACATAATATGAGAAGTGCAACATTGAAATGCAAAATAGCATTGGCTGCTCTAGAAATTTGGAGGAGTACAGAAAGATAAATTGTGGACAGACTTGAATATGAAGTTTGGCCTTGACCACTTAGGCATCTGTTGTTGAACTATTAAGAAGAGTTGATGAAGTATTTTAGGAAGATGAATCTGTGGTTGAGGGAGCACAAGAGTGGAGACCAGGAGATTAATTGAGAAGTCTAAAATGGTATGGATCCTGAAGTAGGATAGTGGCAATGGGAAACAAAAGGAAGGGACAGATGTGAGATGCCATGAAAGAAGACTCAGTGGGACTTAATAGTTACTTAGATATGGAGGGAAGAATTGATAATGACTGTCGATTAAAGGAATTGTGGATGTTAAACTGAAAAACCTCTTTTAAGTTAAAAGTTTCTTGTGTGTCTCATGATTCTTAATGGGTTATCGGCATATAGGTCATTTAATAAATGGTTTGATTAGTTCAGCTGTCACATAAAGATACTAATTTGCCTTCCTCATATTTGTGGAAGCCCTTTGAAATATACAGTATAGAGTTCATTATGTGTCAGGTACTTTGCTAATAAGCACAGTAGATACTAAAAGGAAAAACAAGATAGGCACTGCCCTCAGTGATCTTACAGTCTAGTATTCCTTATCTAATATTTTAGTTTTATAGCTTTATTACTTCATAATAGTCAAACATTTTCATCATCCATGAGTGTGAGCATTAAAGAATCATGTAATTCTCAGTGCAAGCAGTATCACTCTTAAGGGTGTGAAGATTGGTTCTTGGGGGTGAAAAAATTATACTCTTTCACATATAAAACACACAGATATACATACAGTACATAAACAGATATACAATATATCTGTGGTATTAAAACTTCATTGGAGGGTGCTATTATGAAAAAAAAAGTCTGAAAAGTCTCCTTGGTGGTGAGAGGGTGCTAATAAAAGTCTCTAAGCTAAATTTATTGCAATTATAGTTATCAAGGGCTTTTTAAAGAGGACAGATCCCTTAACTCCTTAGCCAACTAGTTAAAAATTCAGACTTTTGACAATTAGGATTTTTCCATGTATTTTGCATATAGGTATATGTTGTTGGAGGCTATGATGGACAAAACAGACTTAGCAGCGTAGAATGTTATGATTCCTTTTCAAATCGATGGACTGAAGTTGCTCCCCTTAAGGAAGCAGTGAGTTCTCCTGCCGTGACTAGCTGTGTAGGCAAATTGTTTGTGATTGGTGGAGGACCTGATGATAATACTTGTTCTGATAAGGTAAGCCATGTTCTCTTATAGAAATTACCAATGATGTATACGGGAAGAAGAATACACAAAGCTTATCAAATAGATAGCAAGGTCCCTTAGTGTGAGGGAACCTTTTAAAAATTGTCTAGTACTTTATACTTTGGGGGGAAAACACTGAGTTTCAAGTTACTGAAGTGAACTCCTAATATATCTAACAATTTTCTGTAAAAAGCATTATCTAATCTTTTTTAAATGAAACTAATCTCAGCATTGGGATATTATACTAAATAAATTGTTTTAAACCTTTTACTGCTATAGTCTATAGAATAAAAAAATTACTGACAAAAAACACAGTTGGGAAGTGAATTAGCAGAGGGTAAGATACAGTAACTACACTGCTTCCAAGTGGGTCATCTTCTGCATACTTTAAAAGTATTTTTTAGAACAAAAAAGAGGAAAGGAAACCTCTGTAATGTCAATAGAGGGCAGCTCAAAGTTGCTACAGTTCATCGAATTCCTGGGACAAAAGAACATTTCCTTCCTGACATCTCAGAAAATACTGTTATTCTGGAAACAATTGTCTGATGCCTAACCTGTTTAGCAACTGTTAACTGAATTTTGTCAATCAATTATTTTTTTAAAGATTTTATTTATTTGAGAAAGAGAGAGAGAACTTAGGGAGGAGCATAGGGAGAGGTATAAGCAGACTCCACGCTGAGCACAGAGCCTGATGTGGGGCTCCATCTCACAACCCTGAGATCATGACCTGAGCTGAAACCAAGAGTTAGACACCTAACCGACTGAGCCACCCAGGTGCCCAATCAATTATTTAATTAAACTTTAATGTGGTCAAATGTTACATTTTTAGAATTCAGAATTTGTGATAATTCAAAGTATACTAAATTGAAGTTTACTTGTGTTCTTTTGAAGAAAGGACTTCCTAAAAGCATAGAGAAATTGTATTCAGATTGAGGTATTGTTATCCTATTTGACACAATTTTTTAAAAATCTAGACTGTTGGGGCATCTGGGTGGCTCAGTCGGTTGAGTGTCCGACTCTTGATTTCAGCTCAGGTCATGATCTCAGGATCGTGAAATCAAGCTGCACATTGGGCTCCGTGCTCAGCAGGGAGTCTGCTTGAGATTCTCTCTCCCTCTCCCTCTGTTTCTGCCTCTCCCCCCACTAATGTGCATTCTCTCCTCCTCTCTCTCTCTAAAATAAACAAATCTTAAAAAAAAAAATCTAGACTGTTAGTTTAGTGGAAGTAAGTAAAGAAAACTTATCATGGTAGTGTAGTATCCATTCATCCTGGAAACAACCTGTGTTTGTTACTCTATTCTGTTTGATAGTAATAAATTTGCATTTCTTTTGAGAATTTTATAAATCAGACATTTCCCTGTCAAGCTAACCTTTCTTAATTCTGTGAATTAATGTGAATTAATTAATGTAGTTAATGGGATTTAATTTTTAATCATGTTTCTATGTATTAGTAGACTTTTTTATTAAGTAAATTTGCATTTTTGTTTATAAATTTCAATAAAATATTTCTGTGTATTACTAGGTTCAATCTTATGATCCAGAAACCAATTCTTGGCTACTTCGTGCAGCTATCCCAATTGCCAAGAGGTGTATAACAGCCGTATCCTTAAACAACTTGATATATGTTGCTGGTGGACTGACCAAGGCAATATATTGTTATGATCCAGTTGAAGATTACTGGATGCATGTACAGAATACATTTAGCCGACAGGTAATGACATAAAACAGATCCAAAAGAAAAATCAATCTAGGAGGGTCCAAATACGTGGCCATTATAAATATACTGTAATTTCACTGTTAATATATTTCATGTATGCTCGAATTATTTCATAATTTTTAAAACCACATAAAGCATATAGTATGCCTGTTTTGAACTCATTTCAGGGAATTGTTTTATTGAAATAACTTATTTTGCACCATCCCATGGTGAAGCAGCCGTTGCACTTGGGCTGGTAGTTTTTTTTCCCTTGACCTCTTAGAATCTACTCCTGTCCTTATCCCTATCTCTTACATATTTTGAAAGAGAAGAAATGCTCCCAAACTGGTTTTCTTTCCTTCTGTGGTTTTAATTATAAAAGAAATGGCTGGGCTCAGGTTTCCCTCATCCGTGCACACTGCCTATACCCCTACTCCACCTCCACCCCCTGCCTCCCAAAAAACCTTCTCTCAGCCTTTGATTCATGACTCTGCCCTCCCTCCAACCACCAAAATGCTTGATGGTTCTAATGCTGGAAATCTGGATCTACCTATATACTGCTCTAGAGTTATACTCAGAGGTCGTTACAAGTAATCTCCTCAGTCTCATCCATATTCTCTTATTTTTTCTATCCAACCCTTAAATATGGGCATTCCTTGAGTCTCTTTTCCCTACCCGCTTCCTAGTTTATTCTCTATTCCTGAGTGGTCACATTTATTGCCCAGTACTGATGACTTCAAATCTTTATCTTCATTAAAGCCTCTCTCTTGTGCCCCAGACTCAAATTTCCAACTGCCTATTTGGTATTTTTTATGATGTCCTAAGAGTTCAAACTTAAAACAGAATTCACCTTCTTCCCCAAGCCTACTTTTTCTGTTTCCAGACAACCCTAGTGAATGGAAAAACTGTTTCTTCCTTACTAACACTCACAACACTTCTGGCACCAAATACTGGATTTATTCCAACCAATTGTCCATCTCTAGCTGAATGTCTTACAGTTCAATTCAGTTCTGACACTATCTACCTGGAGTTAGCATCAGATTCCACAAGTTGAGGGCTCAGTTCAAGACTGCCACTGCTCTAGATGACAAACGCTAGTTCCAGCTTGTCGCCAGTACTTTTGACTAGCTATAAATTAACATTCCCACAGCCCCCTCCTTGGGTTCAATTATTTGCTAGAACAGCTCACAGAACTTAGGGAAATACTTACGTTTATCAGTTTATTATATAATAAAGGATATCATAAAGGATACAGATGAAGTGGCACATAGGGTGAGGTCCAGGAGGGTCCCAAGCACAGGAGCTTCTGTCCTGGAGTTGAGGTGCACTACCCTCCCAGCACATGGATATGTTCACTAACCCAGAAGCTGTTCACATCCTGTATTTTGGGAATTTTTATGGAGTGGGGATGAAAGTTTTAAGATTCTAATTATGGCTTGATCTTTTGGTGAGCAGCACCCCCATCCAGGAGCCAACCAACAATCACCTCAAAAGACTTTCCTATCACTCAGGAAATTCCAAGGGATTTAGGAGCTCTAAATCAGGAACTGGGGGCAGAGACCAATATATGTTTTTCTATTATTTCATACCTAGACTTAATTTCTTAGATTTTCCTCACTTTCACCTAAATTTGAATCCATTATATCAGTTCTATGTCTTCAGAGTTTTTCCTGTTCTTTTCCATTCCTATGGTTCCTGCTTTTGTTCAAGTTCTTATCAGTTCTTCCCTAAATAAAAACAGTATTCTAATTAGTGTTCTTTAATGTCTTCTCTCACGCATTTTGCCACTAGTTATTTTCCCATAAATCTTATTATGTGTCTCCTCTGATTGGAAACATACTGAATAAAATCCAAGTTTCCCCACTTCATTCTAGGCCTTCTGTTGTCTGACCTCTGCTTGCCTTTTCAGCTTCACTTTCTGCAACTTTATCCCAATTATATTAAGTGTCTGTAAAATTGCATATGCTATATAGATTGTATGTGTTCTTGCCTTGGTTCATGATGTCCTCTCAGACTCTAATGTCTTTTCTACCTTCTCTATTTGTAATTCTACTCTTTCAAGAACGACTTTATAGTTACAACAAACTGAAGTTTCCCTGTTCAGGATTAATCTCCTTTTCTGATACGTCACTGCACTTATACCTCTATTATGGCGGTCATAATATTCTGTTAGGGGTATAAATGTTTATTTCCATACCAGAATTCCGTCTTCTTGAGAATACTATTTTTTCTAACTCATTTTCTATGTATCTTGCATTAATGGGTGCTCAGTAAATATTTATTGAATAAGTAAACAAATGAGACCAGGCAGTAACAAGAGACCTAATTTTAAGAGTCTTATATGCAAGATGCGTAAGAGATATAGACTGTAAAGGTAATGAGTAGGGTTTGAATGTAACACCATTTTTCTAAAGTTTTTGACATTGAGGTATAGTCTCTAAAATGTATTCAAAGTAACATTGCCTCAACTGATGAAAGGGACATAATAAGACCTTCAGCTTCATGGTATAGAGGGAATATAATCTTTTATCCCTCTTGTATCACATTTAAGTAAAAATGAATCACATTCTCTAGTTCAATGGCCTTTCCTGGAAAGGACAATCTCCAGGCCTGTAGAGGTGAGGGTGTGCCCTACCATATAAGAACCCATATTATAGTCACATTCACCTGTGCGACAAGTGTTTACACTTACTTATAATTTTTTTTTAAGTAAACTCTACCCCCAACATGGGGCTTGGACTCCTGACCCTGAGATCAGGAGTCACATGCTCTACCAACTGAGCCAGCCAGACACCCCAATTTCTAAATTTTTTAATCAAAGCTAATCTTTATTGGCTTACAGTGAATATTTTAAAGTATAATACAGGGGCGCCTGGGTGGCTCAGTCGTTAGGTGTCTGCCTTCGGCTCGGGTCATGGTCCCAGGGTCCTGGGATCAAGCCCCACATCGGGCTCCCTGCTTGGGGGGAGGCCTGCTTCTCCCTCTCCCACTCCCCCTGCTGCTGTTCCTGCTCTCGCTATGTCTCTCTCTGTCAAATAAATAAATAAAATATTTAAAATAAATAAAGTGTAATGCATTTTTGCCAAGAAGTACTGTTCATTCAGAACCTGGCTATACTATAGAAAATGATAACAATTTAGGAAGATAATTTTCAGCATCTATCATAATGCAGGGCGTACAGTGAATATGTTTCTAACTACATGATTGAGATAAAACTAAGAATAAACAACAGGACAAACATGGCACATTTTTTCTAATTAATGAATAACACGACTTTGAAAATTTCAAAGAAAAAACATTTAGCTCAGAAGTATATTAAATCACGGGGCGCCTGGGTGGCTCAGTCTTTAAGCGTCTCCCTTCAGCTCCGGTCATGATCCCAGGGTCATGAACCTGGGATCGAGCCCTGCATTGGACTCCCTGCTCAGCGGGAAGCCTGCTTCTCCCTCTCCCACTCACCCTGCTTATGTTCCCTCTCTTGCTGTCTTTCTGTCTGTCGAATAAATAAATAAAATCTTTTTTTTAAAAAAGTATATTAAGTCTATTATGACAAAGAGAAATCATTGAAGTCCAAATCAAATATTCTACAAATCTCTTGAAACAAAAAACACTGAGATTTCTGGGATTATCTTTTCTCCTCAGTTCATTCTTACTACCAGTACCTCTAAGTATATCTTTGTAGGGGTGCCTGGGAGGCTCAGTTGGTTAAGCGTCTGCCTTCAGCTCAGGTCATAATCCCAGGCTTCTGGGATCAAGCCCCTGTGGGGCTCCCTGCTCAGCAGAGAGCCTGCTTCTCCCTCTCCCTCTGTTGCTCCCTCTGCTTGTACTGTCTCTCTCTCTCTCTGTGTCAAATAAATAAATAAATTCTTTTTAAAAATCTTTATATCTTGGGCGCCTGGGTGGCTCAGTTGGTTCAGCGACTGCCTTCGGCTCAGGTCGTGGTCCTGGAGTCCTGGGATCGAGTCCCGCATCGGGCTCCCTGCTCAGCAGGGAGTCTGCTTCTCCCTCTGACCCTCTCCCCACTCGTGCTCTCTATCTCATTCTCTCTCTTAAATAAATAAAATCTTTAAAAAAAAAAAAAATCTTTATATCTTTGTAAATGTTATTGATTGGTAATTTTTGAACTGTGTTTGCCTACCATTTAATGCTAATCAGTGAAAAAGGAAAAATCAACTGTAATTTCATATTAGACAGTTGAGTCAAACTTTTTCTATTTTTATTTTTTTTAAAGATTTTATTTATTTGACAGAGATACAGTGAGAGAGGGAACACAAGCAGGGGGAGTGGGAGAGGGAGAAGCAGGCTTCCCGCCGAGTAGGGAGCCCGATGCGGGACTCGATCCCAGGACCCTGGGATCATGACCTGAGCCGAAGGCAGATGTTTAACGACTGAGCCACCAGGCGCCTCTGAGTCAAACTTTTTTTAAATGTTTAGAATATTAAGTGGCAAAAACGCTGAAAAAATGAGCTCTTTGTTTTGCAGATCTAATGGACCTAATGCAGCCTTTTTCTCTTTCTGTCCCTTACCATTTCCATGCCTCTTGACTCTGCATAATTCCTAAAAGCCACAACTTGCTATTTTAAACATATTTTGCTTTTTAACTCTTGTCAGGAACATCCTTTGAAAAATTGTGGAATTTTTTTTTAGGTCTATGATGAAGTTTTTTCAGTCCCCCTTCAGTAGCCCAGGTATTTAAAATGTCATTAAAGTTTAGAATAATAAATGAAAAAATCTGAGTCTTAAGTTGGAATTTTAACATTTAAGCATTAAGCATTATAAAAAATAATAAGGGGAGGGTTTTTTTTTTTAATATTAGGATCATGTTTCACTCCAGTCTTGAAAAATAACATTAAAACTTCATGTATTGGGGCACCTGCCTGGCTCAGTCAGGAGAGCATGCAACTCTTGATCTCCGGGTTGTGAATTCAAGCCCCAGGTTGGGTGTAGATTACTTAAATAAAATCTTAAAAATAAATAAATAAAACTTCGTGAATTAAAATATTTTTCTCTTTTTTTAAGACTTTATGTATTTGACACAGAGAGAGAGCATACAAGCAGAGGGAACAGCAGAGGGAGAGGGAGAAGCAGGCTCTCTGCTGAGCAGGGAGCCAGACATGGGACTTGATCCCAGAACCCTGGGATCATGACCTAAGCTGAAGGCAGATGCTTACCAACTGAGCCACTGAGGCGCCCCAATAAATTATTTTTCTTAAGAGCTGTCATTACTCTTGAGATTCTAATAGAGTGAAATAAGTTACTTTATCTGATACAAGTAATTTCCTGATCTGAAGGAATAACTGATTTCAAGATTGCTTGCTTCATTTATTTCTGAGCATTATTACCTGAAATGACATTGTTTTTTGTTTTTGTTTTTTAAGATTTTATTTATTTATTTGACAGAGACACAGCTAGAGAGGGAACACAAGCAGGGGGAGTGGGAGAGGGAGAAGCAGCCTTCCTGCGGAGCAGCGAGCCCGATGCGGGACTCGATCCCAGGGTCCTGGGATCATGACCTGAGCCGAAGGCAGATGCTTAACTACTGAGCCACCCAGGCGCCCCTACCTGAAATGACTTGTAATAAGATCCTGTAATTATATAGTTTTAAGAATCACCATTAAAGTGACTGTAAGTTTCAATACTATAGGCTAGGTTCTATCTGAAAACTGAGGATGATATTGTTTTTTATTGTATTCAGAACTTTTAGAATTTATAGAAAGAGCTCACTGTGTTTTAGATGAAAAATGTTGTAGTTTGGCACATAATTGGTACAATTCATGGGTGATATTCTAGATAAATGTTTGTCGTTCATTAATGATAATGGGCCAGGTTATTCTGGGTATGTGTAAACTCTAATATAGGTATTTTTAAGTACTCACGAATTCTTTTAGACCTGAAGATATTATCTTCTATTATATAAGTCTACCAAGATTTAATTTCTTCTATAAGAGCAAAACTTAAGGGCGCCTAGATGGCTCAGTCTGTTAAGCCTCTGCCTTCAGCTCAGGTCCTGATCTCAGGGTCCTGGGATCAAGCCCCACGTCAGGTTCCCTGCTCAGCCAGGAGTCTGCTTCTCCCTCTCCCTCTGCTCCCCTCCACCTGCTCATGCTCTCTCTCTTTCAAATAAATAAATAAAATCTTAAAAAAAAGCAAAACTTACATACACAGCAAATCTTGTCAAGTAAAAATGTTTGTTGTACTGATTGGTAGAACCTATCTTGTTAGTTATATACAAATAGGATGATAGTAATATGTAATAACTTTCTGAATTAAAGTAATTGAAAAATTAAAGTAATGTAAATAGAATATTTGACCTGCAGCATAACCAGATCCATGAAATAGGGAGACAATTTTAGTGTAATTTCTTTCTTGGAAGAATCACTCTCATCCTTGCAAGAATATTTGTTTTTTATAGTAATTATGTTATTGAGAGAAAAGAGTAAAATTCAGCTATGAATCCCATTATGTACAAAGTTAAAATATTATTTGGGGAGTTTCTATGTCCCAGCCAAGCCCCTATAACAGTGCTTTGTTAATTTGTTTATAAGTCTTTCATTCATTCATTCAACTTGTGCGTAATCCCACATAATGATTAATGTTCCTACTCCTTGGTCATGTAATAGCCACTTGCTGTAATAAAGGACCTCCCTGTAATAGGAGAAGCAAGCCATACTCTCTGAAAATATTTTTGTTCAACTACTGTTAAGTTAAAACCCTTCTCTCAGTCCACTACCCCCACTTCACCTCCCACATCTTGGCCCCAATCATAACATATATTTTATTTTAACATTTCATTCATGCAAAATTATCTAGAACTCACACATAGAGCAGGAGTTAGGCAAAAGGGAGCTTATTTCATGACTTCTTTGTTTGTTAAAGCATGTCTTATTTTACTTTTCAGTTTGCTACCAAATCCCTTACCTTTAAGAGTTAATTTTTTTTTTTTTTTAATGTATTTGGTTCAACAGGAAAACTGCGGTATGTCTGTGTGTAATGGTAAAATATATATCCTGGGTGGAAGACGGGAAAATGGAGAAGCCACAGACACTATTCTCTGTTATGATCCTGCAACAAGTATCATCACAGGGGTGGCTGCAATGCCCAGGCCAGTGTCCTATCACGGCTGTGTGACCATACATAGATACAATGAAAAATGCTTTAAGCTCTAAAGCCAGGATACCTCACCCAAGAAGCCACACTGATCCAAGATGAGAGGTTCTAAGAACTCCAGAGTGGGAACTTGACATATCTCCTTTGTGCCATGTACACAAAAAAGTAAAAATAATAATTGTGGTGCCTTTTCCCCTGAAATATCAATCTTTCAAACTGTAATAAAGCCTTTCCTGTAATTGGAAAAAAAAATTTGTTGTTGTTGAAAGTAACAGTGGTTATTGCTTGGGTTTTGAGAGTGTACCTTTGTAAGTACTTGTAAGAAACTCATGTGGAGTAGGAAATAATGTCTGCCTTTGTAACTTTCAGGAATTTGTGAATGGTTTCTCCATTTATATATGTTTATCTGTAAGCCTGTATATTCCTTATTTTGTCATACATGTATAGAAAATTGCATGACTTAGGCTTCATTTAGGTTGACTCACATAATGCTTAGAATGCTTACAAAGGGAGGAAGTCAGTTTAAAAAATCTTTTTCACTAAAAATATATCCAAACTGATTAATTTTATTGAAGTTTTTTTTCAGTAATTGATAAAAATGTAATGACAACAATTTGAGTATCATAAAATACTGAATTATCATGACTTCTTAGAATTGCTTGTATTAAACATATTTTTGGAAGAACATTGGGTAGGAGATAGAAAACCAAGTGCCCCTAAAATGCAGATTAAAATTATAGGTTAATTCCTAAGAAAAAATTATGTAAGACCGTTGAAGGGAAAAACGACCCACTGTGGCTCTCAAAGTACTTATGTATCATCTCTAAATCCTCTAAGGAAGCACCTTTTCTTGAACCTGGCAAGAGAGTCGAAATCCATTTTGTGATATTATTTTGTGGAAAACAAGGACAGGTTTTCTCCCTAGCCCAGTAGGGTTTGACTTCATTAGTATGGTGCTTTGGGTGAGGACCTCTTCCCTGGTTATCCTCCTTTCCTGTGAACAGGTAAAAATCCTGGAGTCTTCACTCTTGAGTTGCCTTTAAAGGATAAAGCAGGGACCACCTATCAGTGGGTCCATTTTTCTTTTAAAATTAGCTATCCAAAAAAACTAACAGTGGTATTTGCAGTCTTTTAAGATAAATCTTTCAGTTGGTACCAATTGTGGAAAATCCTGGTCAACATTCTCAAGCTTCTCTACAACAAATTGCCTTTGTCTAGATTTTTCAACTCCAGTTTATAAGCTTACTAGTTTTCAAAGAGGAATGTAAAATTTTTTCTAAGGCAAATGGAATGGCAGGAACTGTAGTATAAGTGATTACTGTTATTCCTGGGTGAAAGATATAATTTACAACATTTTAGGGATATTCCAGGGGTGTACCAGGTAGCCTGCTGGGGTTTCAACTGCCCAGGCACTACTGTTGTCTCACATAATTATATACTCCTTGTCATAGGAGAGATGATGCAAATGTGTGATTATAGTGCCACCAGATTTCCGTTAAAACCAAGTTAGTAATAAAAAAACCTAACATAGATAAACCATTTTGTTTTCTCATCTTAGAAGGATACAGAGATTCCTAAAAACTATGTGGCATCAGTGCCAACTTAGCTGGAATCTGAATTCTGAGGAAAACTCTAAAGATCTTATAAATGTTTAGGGAATTAAATTTTTCAAATCATAATTTGGAAATGATATGTACCTTTTTCTGATAATTGTCAGAGCAATTCAGGAAATAATTTTCTATCATTTTAGTTGAAAGACCATTGTAAATACAATTGGGATACTTGTTTTAATTCTAAAGTAAACATCTGCAATATACCTTTTGTAGATAATGGAACCTATTTAGTTCAGAGACTCTGCGGTAGATGAGATGATGTATGAGAAAAGTGTTTTGTAAATGCTGGGGATTATACAAATGACACTTGTTATTTTTATGTGTATTTGTAAGATCATGCCCATCCATAAATACAGACACTTCACACACAAACTTTCTCAAGATCACTTGTATTGTAGTACTTTTGTCTATTGTAAAAGTATTAAGTATTTACTTGTATTTCTTTATACATTTATTTTTAATATCCATGTGTTTATTGTACTAAATTTGAAATGAAATCCTATAAAACAATTTGTTTAAACATAGATCTCATGCCAATATTGTTTAATTTTTTTCTACATAATTTAAAACTACATAAATTAAGTAAGCCACCAAAAACTTAGCTTGAATCCTATGAAATTTAACAATTTTTGAAATTACTCAACTGATATTTTAATATCCTTTAACTGTTTATCTTCCTTTACTGATTGTTGATAAGTAATGGTATTAGCATTGATAAAAGAATTTTAGGGTATAATTAGTATACCAAAAGGGATTCATCAACCAAATTGTGTCAGATTATATTCATACTGTCATCACATAGTTGACAGATTTCCTTTTGATAGGAGATGCTCATATAAGCCTTTGGGTTAGTATGTATGTATATACATGTATAGATAGATAGTATGGTCATGTACACACATATATACAAACACCAAGAATTTGATCAGTTTGTGATGATCGGAAAACACATAAAGTAAGAATTGGTTGACTTAATTAAATTCATTTCCGGAAGATTTTTTTTTTTATTTGGACATTTCTATAATACTCTTTTACATTTGAAAGTACATGATGGGGGGCACCTGGCTGGCTCAGTCAGTAGAGCATGCGACTCTTGATCTTGGGGTCGTGAGTTTGAGCCCCACATTGGGTATAGTGATTTCTTAAAGTTTGAAAGTACATGAGTATTAGTATAATGAGTTGTATACAGTCAGAATCTATGTAATACATAAATTTTCACAAGATCGGAAAACAAATTGGAGGTAGAGACAAGTTTGCTAAACCCATCTGTGATACCTCGGTGGGAAAAGGAATTCAAGTGTATGTTTTGTGGATTAACAGGAAAGTATAGTTGTTTTTTGTTCATGAACGTGTGTTTTCCTATTGATGAGTGAGCTATAAAGTGGTCTGATTTTTACAACAGTAGACCTTCGTTTTCAAATTTAATCTTCCCACTGACTACTGCACAGGTATGAAATAGTAGCTTATTGAATCTTCAGTAACCTTTTGTTTCCCTAGATGACTGAAATATATTTACTCCATTTAAACCAGGTGGTAAGAAAAAAATGATGTAAATACTCAGGGAGGGTATTCACTTGTCATTTTTGCCTATTTGGGGTGTTTAAAGTGCCATAACTATATAAACTTCAGTTCATGATCCTAGAGTAAATTTAATTTGGTAAAGGGGCTTCACACAGGCAGTGGTTGAACATTCATTCTTTTATATTTAGAAAGATGAAAATGTTTTGTGGACTGATACATTTTCTCTTAGTGAATACGAATTGTTTATGTCTCTCTACTGTCATATACCCTTTTGAAACTCAGGAAAGACAAAGGTTCAGTTATACTACTTTTGTCAATATGCAAACCAGGTGTGTATTGTTTTGTTTTTTTTTTTCCTGTTGTCTGGATATGGCAATAGATTTTTTTAAAAAAAGAATTGCTGTGAGAACCCAAACATGAAAAGAGAGGGTTTGAATTGTTGTGTGTGCCTTTCGTGTCTTGAGATTTATATGTGGAAAAGACATCTCCAGAGTGTATTTTCAAAGAGAAGACATAGCTATTTATATGGTGCCAAGTGATAAGATAATGTCTCTTAAAGGTTTCCTATGGAAGCCTTTATTTTACTAAACTCAAGACACCAGTGAACCTCAACATAATTTTGGCCTTATTAGAATTTCTTGTGCATTATATTGAAAGCCAGGTTTACATCACCTCACCCCATTATTCTTTTTAGTTAAATAAACAAATTCGCCATATCAGGTAACCAGAATGGGGGCAATTTGGTTGGCCTTTAAGTAGGTTTGACTAGGTAGCTCTACTTACTGTCACATCTAATGCTAGACATCAGAAACCACTTGAGCCAGAGTGTGAACTGATAATTCCAGAGACATTTTCAACATACTTCAGACATTTTTTAATGTTTTTTATGAATGTGTTACATTCGTGTGATTGCCTTAGATATTAAATTTACTTAGTGCTAAAGATGATCATAATTTTTTTAAAACAGCAGTAGTCATAACTTATTTTATATATTGTTCCAAAGAAAAAGAATTTATTTTAATGTTTTCAAAATAACTGCATCTGAATTTATGTGCCTTAAGTTCTCTAGTGCTATTTCAACTTTTTTTCATACTAAATGACGCTTACCTTAGATGAGTTTCATATTTGTTTCCTACAGAGTAAGTAAACTCCCCTTCTTAAATTTTTTAATAAGCACCATGTGGTTGCTTGGCAGAATGAGAATATTAAGAAATGTTGAGCATTTGGAGTTTTATTATATTTGAGGGTTTTGTTTGTTTTTGTTACCAAGGTGCTTTTTAAGATATTCAGACAAACATCTAACATTGATTAAACGTTTGAAAACATCATTTGCAATATCTACATCTAATGTCAGAAAAGTAAATGTACTTATTTTTGTTCCATCCTTATGTACTATTTTTTTCCTTCTATAGTCTTTTATATTTCCTGAAAAAGTTCTTACTCTTGCTTTCCCCATCATCCCTCCCTGCCCCCAGTTTCTTTATTTAAATTATTGAGAATTTCTGGAGGTAAGACAACAATTATAGAGTTGAAAAAGAGCATAATATGCTTTACAACTTGTATAGACCTATGGCAGCCAAATGTCATTTGCTTTCCGTGAGAGGCTCCAAGAATCTTCACAGTGAAAAATGCTTTGTCATTTGTTCTCAATTTGGTTGTAGCACAGTAATACTTACATGTCTTGTTTAGATATACTTTGTGCATAGTTTAATTTTTTTAAAGTTGTATCTAATAAAATGTCCTTTAACCATTATTATTTGACTATACAGTTGTATTAAATTTTGTTTACCAAAAACTTGTTGCTTTGTTTTATTTTAAATACATCCAAATGAGGGGTGCCTGGGTGGCTCAGTCGTTGGGTGTCTGCCTTTGGCTCGGGTCGTGATCCTGGGATGGAGCCCCACGTAGGGCTCCCTGCTCAGGGGGAAGCCTGCTTCTCCCTCTCCTGCTCCCCCTGCTTGTGTCCCCCCTCTGTCTCTCTCTCTGTCAAATAAATAACATAAATACATCCAAATGGTTGTGCAAAAAAAAGGGATGGAGGAAAATTCATTTTAATACATGTGCATATTTAGTGGTATGTCCATAAAGTAACTAGAAGAATAAATAAACTAAAACATTGGTGTATATCAAGAAATACGGTGGCTGAGGAGCAAGTAAAAAGGAAACACCACTGCATACTCATATAATTGTATGTAATTATGTATAAATATGCATATAATCAATGTTTTAGTCTGAACCACATGGAAGTGTTACCTATCCACAAAAAAAATTTTAATTACCAGAAAGTTACCCATAACGTGTACTCTAGTGTTCTTTGATTTGACTCTCAAAAGTACCCCTGTAGTGATATTAAGAGTAAAGGACTTAAGAAATTTTCTTTCAGATGTCAAAGAGAGGGTATATTATTTACAGGAGGGGCAATGTCTGATTTTACATTAACAAAAGTAAAATTTTGAAAAGATACAAATACGTTATAGAAGCATGTGCAATGCCTAGCTTTTTATGCTTAGTTTTTAAATTGTGCCATAAAAATGTCAAGTTAGAGTGCTTCTTAAATAATAAACGTTAACAATTTTTCCTTTGACTCAATTCCTTTGTAGCCACACCTGGGAAGTGCATGGGCTTCATCAGAACTGATTCCAACCAGTGCTCTACCAGAAAGCCATTTAACCCCTGAACCCTAGTTTCCTTATTCTAGGAAAGGTCATGATCCCCACTTCACAGGCTTGTTGTAAGGAGATGAGCTAAGGGGACGTGTGTTAAAGGGTGAATAGTTCTGGCACAGAAGAGAACATAAATGTTGGCTCCTTGTCCATGCAGCTAGTTTAGGACAAAAATACAATATGTAAAAGTAGGGAAGGAGTTGAAAAAATAAAAAGTATTTGTAAGCTTAAAATTGGAAAACCATGGACAATGGGTAAAGAATTTCAATTTTATCTTTAAAAAATTACCTGCACTCTTGAGGCATCTGGCTGGCTCACTTGGTAGAGCATGTGATTCTTGATCTCAGGGTTGTTGAGTCCAAGCCCCAAGTTAAACATAAAGAGCTTACTTTAATTTTTTTTTTTTAAGATTTTATTTATTTGAGACAGCACAAGCAGGGGGCGGTGGTGGGGGCAGAGAGGGAGAAGCAGACTCCCCTGCTAAGCAGGGAGCATGACTCAGGGCTCAATCCCAGGACCCTGGGATCATGACCTGAGCTGAAGGCAGATGCTTAACCGACTAAGCCACCCAGGTGACCCAGGTAGAGCTTACTTTAAGGAAAAAAATCATCTGCATTCTTAATAGAATGAGGAAAAAAATGGGCTAAACCTGCCTTCTGCTTCTCTGATATTAACCATTAATGGAGATTTAGAAAATCAAAAGGCATGGTTTTCCTCCTAATTTTGTTGAGGCCTTTATTTTTTGTTTATATTATATAACGTTTTGACATCTTGGGGGAACTTTGCTGGGAGAAAC